TATTTTGAGAAGCCGGATTCAAGCCAAGCAGTCTGGCGCCACGGCCATGCACATCAGAAACCCCTGCCAAGTATCTCAAAAGCAGCAGCATTCTTACGTGTTATATCACCCCACCCCACGTTACCTTTTTATAACCGCTACTCCAATCCCAGGAGCTTAGTGACGACTGCTCACAGTGACAGCCCCAATTCTTAACAGTACCAACAAGTTTCAATTTCAGACCATAAAACCACACTTGGAGAAAAGATTCCTTCTGGGGCTGGCACTGTGGCGTAGTGGGTAAAGCCACGGCCTGCAGTGCTGGAATCCCATATGGGCACCAGTTCGAGTCCCGGCTGCTCCACTTTCCATCCAGCTCTCTGCTATGGCTAGGGAAAGTAGGTTCTTGGGCCCCTGCACCCATGTGGGAGACCAGGAAGAAGCTCCTGGCTTCAAATCGGCATGGCTCCAGCCATTGTGGCCAACTGGGGAGTGAACCAGCAGATGGAAGACCTCTCTCTCTGTCTCTGTCTCTCCTTTCTCTGGTAACTTACAAATAAATAAATAAATCTTTAATTAAAAAAAGAAAGAAAGAAAAGATTCCTTCCCACACAGGGGTCAGAAACACTCTCACTTCACAGCCAAGCTACCAGTGGAGGTCAACAAAAGCTGGGCTTACACAAGCAAATGAAAAATCCAAAAACGTGGTCTGTTCTCAACTTCTCTCATTGTCTAATGCAAGAGTTAATTTGGTTCCCCAAATTCTGCACACAGCCAAGAAGAAACATTGGTAGAAAATAAGGCAAATACACGAAAAGACTACAGCTAAATAATGGAGAAAAAGAGGTGGGTGGATAAAAATCACCTGGGGTTTTAGAGACTGGAAGCTGCAGACATGAGACAAAGGGCCTGGTGTGAGACCTGCGCCACCAGAATCCGAGTAAAGGATTCCAGTGCCCAAGCGTGGCAGGCACGTAACACTGGTAACAACCACACTTCAGACATGTGGCACTCTCAATCGCAGGCACTCTGAAGCACACAGATGGACCCTCAAAGACCTTCCTGTCTGTCTAGAAGGGGAGATCTGCCTGCAAGTGTTTACATCCAAAATGACACATGGCATTTGTTTGCTGACTGTGTATTAGGCACTGTTCTGTTTATTGCACAACCACACATTTTAATTTGCTACCATAGGTTGGTCTATTAACATCCCAGCTGCGTAAATGCAGCACAGAGAGGTTTCGGGGCTGGGTCTCAGGACACTACAGCCAAACGGGCAAATCGAATCGGAAGCCTAGGCAGTGGTCAGAGGATCAGGGACTGTAAACCCTAGCTAAAGCGCTGAACTTTACCCTAACAGCTGGTGGATCCCAGCTGGAAATATATACAAGGGGACTTCAAGAAGTTCACAGAGGAACATGGTGCAGCAGCCTGCATCCTCTACTGAGCAGTGCACTGGAGTCCCAGCTCCTCTGCTTCCAATCCAGCTCCCTGCTAATGCATCCTGGGAGGCAGCAGCTGATGGCTCAAGTGCTTGAGCCCCTACCACCCTCACGGAGTTCCGGGCTTCAGCCGGACCCAGCCCTGTCCGTCACAGGCATCTGGCTAGTGAACCAGCAGGTAGAAGATCATTCTCTCTGCCTTTCAAGATCAGAGGGGCGGGTGCTGTGGTGCGGCAGGTAGAGCACCACCTGCAGTGCCAGCATCCTGCGTGCGCGTGGTTCAGTCCCGGCTGCTCCACTTCCCATCCAGCGCCCTGCTAATGCTCCTGGGAAAGCAGAGGAAGCCGGCCCAAGTCTAGACAGTACCCACATGGGAGACCCAGATGCAGATCCAGGTCCCTGCCTTCAGACCTGCCCAGCTCCGACCATTGCAGCCATTTGGAGAGTGAACCAGCACAGCAAAGATCTTTCTGTGCCCTTTCCTCTAACTCTACCTTTCAAATAAAATAAATCTTTAAAAACAAACAAAATCAGATCAAAAACAAACTTTTTTTTAATTCATGGAAAATGGAATTAAAAGTTAAGTTTATTTTGGCGCAAAAAAAAATTGAAATCCCTACATATGAATAGTCTTCAAAAAGTAGGTGAAATGCACATCATGAAAAAACTGTGCATTAATTTCATAATTTCTATACCAAAATACACTCTTTTTTTTATCTCTTTTTTTTTTTTAACAGGCAGAGTGGACAGTGAGAGAGAGAGAGAGACAGAGAGAAAGGTCTTCCTTTGCCGTTGGTTCACCCTGGCACACCGCGCTGATCCAATGGCAGGAGCCAGGTGCTTCTCCTGGTCTCCCATGGGGTACAGGGCCCAAGCACCTGGGCCATCCTCCACTGCACTCCCTGGCCACAGCAGAGAGCTGGCCTGGAAGAGGGGCAACCGGGACAGAATCCGGCGCCCCGACCGGGACTAGAACCCGGTGTGCCGGTGCCGCAAGGCGGAGGATTAGCCTAGTGAGCCGCAGCGCTGGCATTTTATCTCTATTTTTAAACAAACTTTATGAAGTACCCTCATACACCTCAGGCCCTGCAGAGCATGAGAGAGGCTTTGTCTGCTGAGGATGGCTGCCCACTTCAAGGCTCTTCTGCTATCGGGAGGGTCTTTCCTCCTCTAGGTCAGGAACAGGAAACCTTTCTCCTGCTAAGGGCCATTTGGATATTTATAACATCATCTGTGAGCCACACAAAATTATCAACTTAAAAATGAGTTTTAGGTGTTGGGATTAAAAAAAAAGTCAAAAGGACAAAAATAGAGAATCACTGAAATATAAGGGATGGGGAGTTACGGAGACAACGCCAGAAGCAACCCCCAGGGGAAAGGAACCAAGCCGTGAACCAGTCACACCCCTGAGAAGGACCTGGCCGCTTCTCTCCAACCTGAAGGCTCAGCCCTGGCCAGGGAGGCTCAGAACCCTGAGCTGCCTCTGCATCCCCCAGCACCACTGCCGAACTCCTCACTTCTAGACCTGCTATGTTCAAGTGCAAACAGTAGTTTTCTCCCACAAACTCCCTCTCGGCAGAATAATTAACAGTTTAACACACCACTCTGGACAAACACAGCCTCTGCCCCCACACTGCTGTCCAGATAACTATATTTACAAGGGTATTTTCCCCCATTTGCATTTCCCATACATAGGTTTTGAGAAGAAATCCAGACTACCGCTATCACTGTTAACCTTTCCTTTTTACCCCCTTTCAAACAACTACTCCGGTGCTGCCTGTGCTGAATCACCAGGCAGCAGCCAGCACTCCACCAACGAGGAAAACAAGGCTTGAAGAGAGAAAACACAAAGCGAATTGCCAGGGTAATCCACCAGCCAGTGCAGAACTGGAACTTGAACCCTGGTTCTCTGCCACCGAGCACGGGGGTTCGCAGGATGAGCTCAGGTGGTTCCAAATGGGGAAAACCCGGGAGGCGTATGCAGGTGACTCAAGTTTGGGGAACGGCGTGTGGCACACCGCTCCTTCTAACTAAAGGCTCAAGTTCCCCGGTGAGCAGGGCTTTAAGCACTATCTCTTCCTAATTCCCTTTTTTGCTTTCTTAAGGGAACACTTCACAAGTTTTTGTGGCATCCTCACACAGGGCCACACCAGCCTGGTCTGCGTCTGTCCACGCCAGCACCTTCGTCTCCTGCACCTCCCCTGTCTCCGGTGCCGGCTGCGGTCTCAGGGTGCTGCTGATAGAAGTTTGAGACACCGCACCGCATTCCGAATGTAACAATGAGACCACCGGAGAATACACGGAGTTGAGGGCAATCCCTCCCCTTCCTAGCGCGGAGAAAGGTGCTCATCCCCGCCCCACCCCTCCCTCTCCTAAGAGCCTCCCACATTCTCTGCACTTCCCAGCCCCGCGCCAGCCACCCAAAGTAGCCCAGACTCAGATCCTCCGGGGTTCCATTAACTGTTTCACTTCCCTGGACCCACAAGTTTCACAAGCCGCCTGCTGCAAGAAAATCCTAAAATAAACCCCATTTTCATCATCCGCAGGCCGTTTCTCCCCTCCACCTCCTGAACACACCCTTCAACGTTTTCCTTTCCCTAAAAGCTCAGGGGGAATTAAAAAAAAAAAAAAGAACCGAAGAATTGCAGATTCCAGTCCGCCGCCCACCAGGCTCTCAATGAGCCCGCTTTCCCAAGTGGCCCCAAGGCTCGCTCAGACTTCAAGGAAGTTTTTCAGCAGAGCAGCTGCACCCAGATGTTTCCCACTTCGGCCCTCCGCTGTCTCCTTTGCTACTGCGAAAAATTCCAAAGAGAAAAGGAAAAGGAACGGGGAGTCCCGGAGAGCGCTGCGGCGGTTCCAGGAGCCAAGGGGGCTTAATCCGCTCTGTCGCCCTCGTCCATTCTTCCTTCAAAACAAAAGGGCACGCGCGACCTTTCCCGGGCAGAGGCCCGAGGGGCGCAGCCAGATGTTGCATCAGACGAGCGCCGGGCGCGGGAGAGACGAGAAAACCAGATGGGGACAGGAAGCCCCAGCAGGGCGTCCGGGCTCCTCCGGGGACCCGCCAGCGCCTGCCCTCTCGGTCCTTTCTTTTTCTTTTTCTTTTTTTTTTAAAGATTGCATCGAAAATTAGGAGTTTCAGTTTCACGCCAGCGGGGAGCCGACGTTCTTCCCAAAAGCGGTCCAAGAAGTTCGCGTTCCTCGCCCGAGGACCGGCTCGCGGCGGGGGCTCCCCGGCCGCGGCGGACGGGGCAGGGGGCTGGGAGCGGGGGGACGGGGCTCCCGCGCGCCCTGGGCGGGCGCCGAGGCGGAGCGGCTTGTCCCGGCCCCGCGGACGCCCCCCGACCCCCGCGTCCGCAGCTGCCCGCCCCGGCCACAGACGGCGACCGCCGCCCGGCTCCCGGGCCCTCGGAGGCGGGAAGGCGCGGGTGGCCCCGAGACAATGGGCCGGGGGCGCGGGAGCCGCAGTGCCGCCCTCACCCCCGGTGCGGGCGCCGCGCGGGGGCGCCTCGGGCCGCCCCGGCCACCGCCCCCCGCGGCCGCGCGGGAGCCGGGGCCTCCGCCGGCGGGGCGGGCGCTCACCTTGACGAAGAGCTCGATGAGGGGCTCTTTGTCCTCCTCCTTCAGCCCGTTCAGCGGCATCGACAACGCCATGGCGGGCTATGAGAAGGCTCGTCTGACGGCGGGCGACGGCACGTCGGATTCGTCTCGGGGGGGTGAGTGAGGAGCACATTCACCAAGCTGAACGCTGGGAGGAAACACTCCGGCGTCAAGTAGCCGCGGCCTCCGCGCCTCAGCACCGCCCCACGCCCCACGAGCGACTCTGAGGCGGCCGCAGCCCCAGTCGCTTCAATTCGCCGGCCGGGACCCTGGATTCGGGCTTTAGGAGTAAGGGCGGAGCTCTTTACCGGCGTCTCGGGACTCTCCCGGGGGAAAAGGGAGCGGCCGGAGCCCGAGGGGCGTGGCCTAGGCCGGGAAAGGCAGAGGGGCCTCTCCGGCGCCGGCTGAGGGACCAGTCGGGCGCCTCGAAGGAGATACGGGGCGTGCCCTGGGCTCGGGGGCGTGGCCTAGGTGGGCAGGGCGGAGCGGGGCGGAGCCGGGGCTGCGGTGGGCGCACCCGGGCCACGCCTTCCGAGGAGGCGGAGGGAGGCTCCCCAGGGCGGAGGCTGACACCGCCTCCCGCCGCAGCGCCGGCGCGTCCTCCGCAGCTGCTGCTGGGCCGGAGCCCGGTGACCTCATGCCTCGGCCCGCCTAGGGAGGCGAGCAGGCGCCTCCGCCCTCTCCCCCGCCGGAGCCTGGGGACTCATCTCCCTTCCCCGCAGCGGCCGCCTCCTCGAGCTCCCCGTGTTAGGAGGAGCTTTTTCCTGTAAAACTTTTCGGAAAGTTTTCATCGCTTGGAGATGGCTTTTTCTTCTTCCGACTGCCTTCTTCCCTTTGACCGTACGGTCGCTCTCTGGGGAGCCAGCATATTTACAAGTATTTACAAGGCCCCGCTGTGTCCCAGGCCCTGAACTAACCTCCACGGGGGCGGGGGGGGGGCGCTCTCCGGTACAACAGGACCCCCGCCCCACCCCCCAGCTCCTGAAGCTACCGAGGAGCCCCAAGCTCTGGTCCGCGCTGTTCCCCCTTCCTGGGCCGATTTCTTTCCCGCATTCACCTGGCAAACCTGAGCGCGCATCAGAATCAGCTGGGCCGCGCTCAGCCCAGCAGGACCTGACCCTGAGGTTCTCCTGGAGTGGACTGAACAGCTCAACAAGCCCCAGGACGGATCCGCAGTACGCGGCCCTCAAAGTGGGGAGGGAGGACTGCGCGGGGTTTTGAGCCCCGAGGGCGGCCGCTGTGACACCTAGAGCCAGGCTGGCGGTAGGCACCCGCCCGGGGGTTGCCGCTGGGGACCGCCCTGGGTGGACATCGCGGCCTCTGGAAACTTCCTTGTGCCCTTCCCCATTTCCCAGGCCGGGTGACTCACGACCGCCAGGGGTTTGCCTCTGCATCCCTAGTGCCAGCCTGCATGACAATGATGAACGCGTGCATGAAATACAGCGGGAGCTGCAACTTCTTCCCCCGCCAGCTCACAGGGACTCTGTGAAAGGGACCGTGGACCCCAGTGCTTAGGGTGACGCGCCGTGGAGTCAGCCTGTTGAAGTCCCCGATCTTGACATTGACAGGTCCTTCAAAACCCCTAAGCCGAGTGTCATTATCTGGAAGGGGGTGGAGCCCCAGGCTGCCCTGCCTTACCCCCCCCCCAGCCCCCTATCCCCGTCCTGTGTCCTGTGCCAGTCAAGTGAGGACTGTTATCTGTGCCTGGCCTGATAAGGTCCCCGTCCACCCTGCAGGCTGGGGTGGCTCTGAATTCAGCTCCCTCCACGACCAGCTTGCTAAGAAGAAATCAGTGCTGACTGCCCCTTAGAGCCGGACAGAAACCAAAAACATCCAAGTGACCAGGTGGACTCTGGACTGGGCTCAAGGGTATTTTATTCGCAGACTCATGAACTGAACCAAAGTTCCCTCCGCCCAGCCCCCCTCCACCCTCCCTGCAAAGGAACCAAAACGGGGGGGGGGGGGGCAAAGCAGGCCCCATCTCACATGATCTCAGGGAACCTCAAAAGCCCCAGCCTGGCCCTAGTGACCCAAGGGCTGCTGCGGGGGCTCCTGTCTTCTGAGTGTGTTGCACAGTTTATCAAATTTGGTGTGAGTCAGCCAACATTCCCCGTGCTGCGCGTGTGGGTTGCAGGCACCTCGCTGGCCCCCCAGCGCCTGGTGTGGAGGTTGCCCAGGTCTGGAAAGGGAAGTGGACCAGGGTTTTTCCGTCTTCACTGCCTAAGCACAGATCTGAGTTGGCAGAAGCAAGCAGCATTCTCCTCCCCTGAGCCCCGAGTTAGTGTGGTCTCCAGGATGGCCCCTGCCCACTAGGAAGCCCCCAGGCATAGCCCCGCCTAGAAACCAGAGTCATGGTCACATCTAGGGTTTCCCAGTGTCCACCCCCATGTGGCTTGCAAGGATGGACAGAGGGGAGACAGGGGATTTGTGCCGGCAGGCCCCAAATGCACCTTGCATTCAAGGCTCCTTCCAGCTCTGCGCATGCCTGTTCTGCGCTCCGTCCTCGTGTTTATTTTCAGAACATGCACAGAAATCGAGAAGTCGGGTGGAGATCTGTTGTCCTGCACACACGCCCTCTGATCTCATCTCCCACCACTCTCCCCTGCTGTCCTCCACCCCAGCCACACCTGCCTCCCGGATGCTCAGTGAGTTGCCTCAGGACCTTTGCGCTTGCTCTTATCGTCTCTGGAACATTCTTCTCCCAGAATTCTAGCAACCCCCACTCTCTTGCCCCTTTTGGGTCTTTGTTCATTGCGATTTCCCCAAATACACAACGTTGCAAGGTGCCGTAGCTCATTCTGCCTCCACTCCCTCCCTCTCTGTGATGTTTAAAATCCTCAGCTATATATTTTACTTATCTGCTTATTGTCTGTCTTCATCCACTTGAGCATAAACTCCTCTGGGGAAGAGATTTTTGTGTGGCTTTGTTTATGGCTTTTATCCCCAAGGGGCAGGTCTTGGTACATAATAAAAACTTACAGGATGAGTGCATGTGCTGAGTGGGACAGCCGGTGTCCTTACCTCCGACATACACTTGGCATGCGGCTGCTCTCCCAGTCTGGGGAGCCGAGCGGTTTGAGCTTGCTTTAAGATGGCCATTTCACAAAAGGCCAAGGCTTCCAGAGGACAGGCGGCCCCTCCGGGAAGAGTCCTGAGGACAAGGTCTCTCCTGCCCCCCGCCCCCAACTCGGAAGTGCTGCGCACGCGCAGTCTCAGCCCGCTTCCTGCACCTTGGGCAGCAGACTGCCTGGGTTCAGTCCCTCCTCGGGTTTACGAGCTCACCGCAGCTGACTGCGCTTCAGTTTCTCACCTGTAAAATGCGGTTAACAACAGTACCGACTGCACAGGATCGTCGAGTTCTTCTAGGTGGGATGGTGCCTGGCCCCGGGTCAGGCCTCTGGTGACCCTAGCTGTCGCCGTGGCACCCATCTGACCGCGGTCACCGCCAGCCACCAGGCTCCCACGCTGGCTAGCTGGCTGACTTCATATCCAGTCACATTTTTCCCCTCATTGTCATTGTCCCCATTTGACAAGCAAGGAGACTGAGGGTCAGAGGGCCGCTTGTCACCGTCATTTAGCCGGGCAGACGGTGGAGCTGGGATTCAGACCCGTGGCTGTCGGGGACTCTGTTTTCCCTGCGCTGAACCCTAAGTGGGTGTGGGGAAAGATGGGCTCCTCCCCATCCTTCGAGGCTCAGCTCAAATAAAGCTTTCCTCCAAGAAGCCGCCTTGTGCCACGCACACGGGAGCGATCCTCTGTCTGCCTCCGGGTCGCGCCGCTGCCTTGGGTCCCACGTCACTCGGTGAGGCTGCGAGGGTGGCAGTTCCCACTGTGGCCTCCTTGGCAAGCCAGCTGATTCGCAGCTTGGGCAAGTCATCTCGCCCAAGGGAGTTTCCGCAGCACTGTCAAAGGAACCCACGCGTCTGACTCCTGAAGTCATGATGAGGATTAAGAGCTAATCCACAGAAAGTACTTGGTAATAAGCATTTAATAGATGTTGGCTATTATGAATACTCTTATTGCCACCTCCTTCCTTGACGAACTGAGAGATTCCGGGCGAGCCAGGACCTTGTCACGCACACGTTTACCTGAGCGAGATATTTCGCTTCCCATCTGCGCGATTTTGAGCCAGCTGTATTTTCCATGCCCATTTTTCTCATATTCGGTGAGAATAACACCAACCTCAAAGGACTCTTATGGAGCTCAAACAAGGTAATAAGTGTGAAGTACATAACACGTACCTAGCATACAGTCAGTGCTCAATAAATGTCAGTTATTATTTATGCTCTCCTATGCCTAACTCAGCGGTGGGCACATACTAGGAACCCACACAATCCAATCAGACTGCGTGAAAGAATCAATAAATTGCAAGCTTACCCTTTAATCTCCCCTCTCCCAAGTTTCATAATGTTTGTTTCACTATACCTCTCACATAATTAGGTGCTCAGTTAACCTTTGGTGATGTCAGTCAACTCAGCTATGGAAAATTCCTACTCAGCTTTGAACTTCCATTGTGTCCTCATGGTGTGGATTCGATCCAATAAAATTCTGCTAATTGTGACTTAGCCATAATTTTGGCTGAAATTTAACCTGAATGCTTTGTTTACAAAAGCACCAAGCTTTCCAGCCTCTCTGGAGGCAGCGGGCTCTCCTGGAGGAAGCCAGTCACTCAACAAACACAAGAGTTGGCGACACATTTCAGACTCTGGGAACGCAGTGGGTCCATCGGCCAAGATGTTCTTCCTGGCCACAGACTGCAGTAGCTGGACCCTGGGAAGGGGGAAGGAAGGAGGGTTTCCAGGTGTTGTTTATAACAAGGATACAGTAGAGGGAACTGAAGCTTAGGGTCCCACAGCTGCTAAGTGACAGAGCCTACGAGTAAGCCCAGATCTGGGGCGTCAGTGCTGGGCAGGGAAACGAACACACCAGATTGGAGTGCCTGATTTGAATCCCGGCTACCCCCTTTTGATCCCACTTCCTGCTAACACACATTCTGGAAGGCAGCAGATGATGGCTCAAGTGTTTGGGCCACTGCCTCACATATGGGAGACCCGGATGGAGTTCCTGGCTCTTGGCTTCAGCCTGG